ACACACTGGTATCTGATTAAATTGATTGTTAAATGAGTCTATTCTTCAATTCTTCTTTCAGAAAATTGTCAATGCATGATGTGTTTAGATAATTTAACACTAGTCTGATGAGTCTGTTGTAGATTCCTTTGAAGCTACATTTCATTCTTTCTAAATTCTTTGGGGATGTCTGGAAGCAGCTTTGCTTTTAATCCATGAAGTGGAGGAGAATTGAATGAAATTATTATTTCTTTGGAAATGTTTGCAGATGCAAAGTTTCTGCCTTTATGGACACAAATGTTCATAAGGGACTCAAACACTTTAGTGTAAGATTTGATGTTAAATTCAGAGAAGGAGAAACAGATTATCTTAGGTAAGGAATAAAGAAAGGAAGGAATGGGAAAGGGTATGAAGAGAAAGGAGAATGGGAAAAGGAGAGAAGAGAAAATAGAAGGAAGAGAAAGGGAATAGAAGGGAAAAGGAGAGAAGAGAAAGGGAAGGATTAGGAAAGAGAAGCAATGGAAAATGGAAGAGAAAGGGAAGTAATGGGAAAAGGAGAGAAGAGAAAAGGAAGGAATAGAAAAGAGAAGGAAGGGAAATGGAAGTAAGACAAAGGGAAAGAATGGGAGAAAGGGAAGTAATGGGAAAAGGAGAGAAGGGAAGAGAAGGAAAGGAAAATGGATAGAAGAGATAAGGAAAGAATGGAAAAATGAGAAAAGTGTAAGAGAAGGAATGAAAAAGAGAAGGAATGGAAAATGGAAGGAAGAGAAAGGGAAGGAATTGAACAAGAGAAGAGAAAGAAAAGGAATGGGGAGAGAAGAGAAAGAGAAGGAATGGGAGAAAAAGAGAAGAGATGGGAAAAGGAGAGAAGAAAAAGGGAAAGAAGAGGAAAAGTTGAGAAGAGAAAGAGTAGGTATGAGAAAGGAAAGAAAAAAAAGGAGAGAAGAGAAAGGGAAGTAATGGGAAAAAGAAGGAAGAGAAAAGTAGGAAGATTAATTAATTAATTTCCTATGGTTTATCAACCTGTTGCACGTTATATAAAGACAGAAATATTTTTAGATTCCTTTCCAAAAGGTATCTGCAAGGAAGTGAATATACTGAATTCAACAGAAATTAGAATTCAACTATCTGATTAACAATTCCAGACCATTATACGTTACACAACCTGCACATCCAAGCTGACAGTACCTGGTATTTCCAAACAATCATCCATCTAGATACTAAACTGGCTCAACATTGCTTAAATTTGGTGATCATGCAAGAACTGATGTTTCAACATTTTGTGGCCATAACCCAGGGTAAGGAAGAAAAAAGAAGGAATGAGAAAGTAAACTGAATTTTTAAATAATTTCACTCATACGAGAATTCATTGTAATAATGATGATGCCCCATACCAGAAATTCAAAAGGGAAATTACAAGGTTGAAAAGACAATTAATTAACATAATTAATATCTTTTCCAGAGATGTTTTATAGTTGATTCGTAAAACATTTCATTCACACAAATGCCTAATTTTAATAAATAAACTTATAAAAAATAGAAGATATTTCACCTAGCATATCTTACTATCTTGAATATAAAAAAACAATGATATTTTTGAGAATATATGTAAGCCTATATCAAGAAGTTGACATGCCACATTACTTCAAATAAAAGGTGAGGAAGGAAACCCCCTATTAATACCAGAAAGAGTGATAATGGCTACTGGGCTTGAAAAATCTATTTTCCTGGCGAATTGTTTTAAGAGAAAGTTTTTATAAATTTCAACTGAAAGTAGGAATTGCTGTTCAGTCAATGAATGCCAAATGTTTCCTTATAAGGAAACAGATAATATTACCATAACCATTATCATGTCATAGTTCATTTCCAGTGAAGTTAGTATGTATTTGTAATACCATATGTAAATTAAGTATAAGATGGTACCTTCCGTGAAATATATTTTTATATGAGCCATTTTTCAATGCACTTGCTCCCATTGTCAATACTTTTTATTCTTTTATTTGCCATATTCCTTCTTTATGTAAGTGATAATGGCTCTACATGACATCCTATCCTTTGTAGGTCTTAGTAATATGTCTTTTTACTATACCTCCCAATTCCCATTCTATCATCAATTCACATAAGCAGATACCCCTTGTCCTTTTTACCTTCATTATGTCCTGTGAGTGTCAAATTTTCCGAGCCTTCTTTCTTCATTATATGCCCTAAAAATTGTAGCTGTATCTTTCTGATTGTAAATATAAGTGTCCTTTTTGTTCTTATTTTCTTTAAAACTTCCTTGTTGCTCACATGCTCCATCTATGGTATTCTCGGCACCCTTATAGAACCACTTCTTTGCTACCTCCAATCTTCTCTGTATCTGTGAGGAAATTGTCTCACATTCACTGCCATATATTGATATTACATAGCAGTTCACCATTTTTTTCTTTGTTTCTAACAATATTTTCCTGTTTCTTACTGTTTCTTAAATTATCAATATTTCCTTTGAAATCATTTATTATCTTCCATTCACTGCTTTGCAATGTTTATCAAACTTCTTAACAAATATAATTTTTTTTAATCATTTCACCATAAGCAAAGCAACAAAATCCCGAAGATGCAAGGGCTTACTGAATGTTAGAGAATTTGAATAACAATCACTAGGAGAGAGAACTTTAAAAGAAAAAGAATTATGAAAACAGTAGAAAACGATTGACATTACATTTAAATTTTTGAAGATCAATGTTGACTGGGAAGCCAGAAGAGAGTTCTCCATGTAAGAAGTGCTAGAAAAGAAACTGTTAGCATAGAACTTATGGTTACATCTAGCCATTTCAATTGTAAAATGACGAAACCTTGTATCAGACTAGTTTTTTTTCTTTTTATGTGCTGTGTTCCTTCAGGACATAGGCAATTATGGCTCTCCACTTCCCTCTATCCCTTGTAGCTCTCAATAAGTTTTGTCCCTCTGCCACCTTCCCCAGACCACATTCTGTCACCCACTTGCTTAAGCCCACCAGGTATGTCATGCATTGCTTTCCTTTGTCTCTCTTTCCCTCTATTTGACCTGTGAGTATCAGATTCTCCAGGCCCTTCTTTCTCGTTACCTGTCCCAGAAATTTCATCTGCCTCTTCCTGATGTTAAGTACAAGCTCCTTCCTTGTTTGCATCCTCTCCAAAACCTGATCATTGCACTGTTGTCTCAAGTCTCTTCTTCATCTTTAAGGAAACCATCCAACATTTGCTGCCATACGTACTGCACTTAAATTCACAAAACCTAGATACCATAGAGGAAATTTTGTTAGAACAATTACCATGAAAGTATTTATAGAAAAGGCACAAAAAAGTTATGTTATGGCAGTGGGAAAGTGACTGAAGTTGAGATGCCAGGTCAGGACCAATATCATTGCAGATTCTTTGGATTTTATCAAGAATCACTAAATATATAGCAGGTGCACCAGAGAAGATTTGGCAGCAGTATTCAAAGCATGGACAAATGATAGACTTACATGTATATGTAAGATAGATTCTGGCAAGAAAAATTGTCTAGCATTATTAGAAACATATTGAATCTAGATGCGTGTCAGTGTTGTTGCTCCCATGTCACTAGCACAACATATTGAACCAAGTTACTTAGCATCAGATCTAACAACTGATTTAATATAATCTTTCCATTTCATGCCAGAAGAAAACATTAGTCCAAGAAAAAAAAAATCAACATTCTTTTGTGTAGTGAGGCACAAAGAGCTGCCAGGGATCATTATTTTTAATTGCACTGCTATTCTGTCAATTGAGCATTAGTCCTGTCTTTTTCGTGTTCAGAGCTGTTAGTAGTTTTCACAAATTTTCTAAAGTTTGGTGCTGGTTTGTCTTAGAAATAAACATTCTTGCTCTTTAATTATCTAATTGTGTTACTGTCCAAAATATTTTATATCTTATAAAAGCTAACATCAGATCCTTTTTATTTACGTGAATAGATTTATAGGAAACAAACCCTATCTCCAACACACTTACATACCCTCATATATACCATCTTAAAACAAGCCCAAACTTTATTTCTACCCAATAACAAACAATATTTACAAACATGCCAAAAAGATCTCACAATACAACACACACCATTTAAATCAAAGTGTCTATTAGAAATTAAAATGACCATGTGAAATATTTGACCAATGAGAAAACAAAAACCTTATATTTCTTGAGCCTACTTTCGGAGGTGGGGTGGGGGAAATCTCTTATAAAAACCCACAGATTTCCACTTTCAAAGATCAAAGAAGCCACTTTTTCCAAATCAAACACAAATGAGCAGAGAATTGCAACTGTCTCCACACCACTGGCTACATAGCTTCTCCTCACTATCAGAGTGTGCTGAAAGAAACGTGTCGGCAACTTCAAACGAATCAGGGACAACAACAAAGACGGTCAGTGAATCTTCACTAATGATAAAAGTCTTTTTTCAACTGCAGTTTTTTTTTCTTGTGGATCAACTAAAAGTATTTTCTGAACTACAGCTTTTTTTTCTGTGAACCAGTTACCCACAGACTAACTCAATGAAAGACTTTTTAATATTTTTAATTCTTTTGAATTCATGTATATATGTTTGTAAATACAAATGATTTATTTAACAGACATAACCAGGATTTCTTTATTTTATTATTGTTTGGAATTCAGACATTCAGATTTTTAATATAAAAATACCTGGACAAAAGAATTTCCTAGATTTAATATATTTTTAAATGAAAATAATTTAAATCTATTCAAAATTAGTTTTTTTTTCTTGGTTTTTATTTTTTTATAATAAATGTTTAAAATGGTAAAACAAGGTGTTTATTTATCTTACAATGTCATAATTAAATATGGCACTGGTAAAAATCTAAACTGAAGACAATGAGGCAATGAAAGTGTTATGATAGAGATAGGCAGATCTAAGTGATATTTAACTGAGTGTTTATCAAGAGCAAAAGTCAGTAAGAACAGAAATTAAGAAAGAGGATCAATTTTAAGCGCTTAGCCATTGCTTGATTGTATTTTTAACAGACCTTTCAAGATTTTCTTGTAAGCTCGCTTCTCTTCCAGTCGAAGCTGTAGGTTAAGAAACTCCCGAAACCTGCGTTTCACTTCTCCAGACTTCAGGGCTAATTCGCCAGATTCAGTAACATATAAGGCATCATACTGAAAAAAAAACAAATTACATAGATTTAGTAAATATTCATCACAACTGTCCTTTTGGTAACATCAATTAAGCTCTTGTATATGTGAAATAACTTTAACTATAAAGGAAAGTTCGTTTTACAGAGAGAAAATGACTAATATTACCATTAGCATATCCTCCTGATGTCAGTCTAAATTGACACCATTTTTTATTCCAAGTACCTAAACTATAATTATAAACAATAATTTTGGAAAGTAAACATTTTACTGAAATATGTTGGAAAATTTAAAAATTTCCATCTGATATCAAGAAAATAGGAATTTTAAGCAAAATACACCCTTGTGCAAATTAATTGAAACAAAACGAATAATTCTGTTATTATTTACTGTTTTTTGTATTTTTCCAATGAAACATAACCCAGTGCAAATGTTAGTATTTCGTATGTCCATTCTACGAAATTGTTCCTTGCAGATTGACCACAGATTCTCGATTGTATTTCAATCAGAAGTGTTTCCAAGCCAGTCTAGTACTTTGATTTGCTCACTGGTAAGGCTTGTCAGTGTGTGCAGCATTAAAAATTTTTATATGCTTCCTTGGAATAATGTCCATCATAGACAATGGCTGTAGGACAACAAATTGACAGTCAAGACAATAGTGTCTGGGCTTGATAAAAATCTGATGCAATCACAGATGTCACAATATTTTTCAAGGCCAAACAAATTTCATCACAGACCCTGAAAATATATTCATATTACTGCACACCACTGCAAATGATGTAATCTGAGGAAAAATAGAAATTGATTACACCCTGTCACTCCAGTGGGTCTAAAACTGACCGTATGTTGAAAGAAACAAAACTAAAGCAGTTGTTTCAATTAATTTGCACAAGGATGTAATCACAATATATGGAAAAAAGAAGTTTAAACTGAAGCCTGGAATATAAAGGTTAAACTTGCATCTTCTTTTTTTACCCCTATATCTAAGCTGTAATTATAAACCATAATTTTGGAAAGTGAAAATTTCACTGAAACATGTTTGAAAAATTTAAGTTTCCATCTGAAATCAAGAAAATAGAAACTTTAAGCAAAAAATAGTCACAATAAAAAAAAGAAGACATTTGTTTAAACTGCAGCCATGAAGATATGGATTAGAGAAGGATATTTTCATAAGAATAAAGATGAGTAATTACCTAATCAATTAGTAATTATCTCATAAATATTATTAAATTAATAATTTTTTTCATAATAAAAATTATTAGTTATTTGAATTATCTTCCTTGGATCACACCTGTTTAAGAAACATGAGAAAAAAAATTGTATCCAAGTATTATATATTACAAACGTTCACGGCACATGTGCGACTTGGAAGCCAATCACAAAAGGTTCTGCTGTACAATAGAAACCTGATGAATTGTACTAGAATTCTTTTTGAAAAATGCCATTGTAAGACAGGTGTGGTTTATATAGTGAAGTAAAGTATAATGTACATATTTTATTACCAACTAGTTTTACTTTATTTTAAGATACCAGTGACTGGTTTTGACATGTATTTGCAGAGCTGCATTTTTGTGTGGTCAAATTAAAAAAAGAAAAAGTGTATTTTAAAAGTGATATTCTAAATGGCTGATTTTATGTTCACATATATATCATGTTTATATGTGAGATGTATTTATATACATATATATCTAGTAATGAATGCGATCACATATGTCTAAGTTAGGCAAGCCCCAAAAATCATCAGAGACACCACACACAGAGAGAAGTTATTCATTACACGTTATGCAGCATTTATGTAACAACTACTGCAAAAGACGTCCAATGTTGTCACATCTGTGCAAGTTAATGTAAGACCCAAGCAGGACTAAAAAGCCGCATTTGCGTTGCTCATATTTGAAAATTGACCAAGCAATAACATTGCTTGAAATAGAGTTGCAGCCATCATGTATATAGTAGTTATATATATATATATATTTATTAAATTATTTCATCCCAAACAAGGCAACAAAGCCACTAACATGTAGGTTGTTACTGAGTATGAAAGAATATAAGAAAAACATTAAGAAGTCAGAGCAAGAATTAAGACAGAAGATAATGATTCACATTACATTTAAATTTTTAAAGCACAAATGTGACTGGAAAGTAAGAAATAGGAAGAGAGTTCTTCATGCAAGAAGTACAAGAAAAGAAACTGTTATCATAGAACTTGCAGTTATATCTAGCAATTTCAACTATAAAATGATGAGATCTTGCCATCAATCTAGTAGAGTACTTAAATTTACTGAGTCTAGGTACCATAGAGGAGAGTTCACTAGAACAATGGCCATGAAAGTATTTATAGAAAAGGCACAGGGAAGCTACATTGGTGGGAAATGGACTGAAGCTGAGATGCCAGGTCAGGACCAATAAAATGGCAGATTCTTCTTTCGATTTTATCAAGGATCTCTAAATATATAGCAGGTTCCCCAGACCATATGTGGCAGCAATATTCAAACCATGGATAAATGGTAGACTTGTAAATATGTAAGATAGATTGTCTAGGATGACACAGTGAACCAACTATCTTAGCAGCAAACCTAGCAATTGATGCAATATAATCTTTCCTCTTCATGTCAACAGAAAATGTCAGCCCAAGAAGGTGCAACCAGTCACTCTCCTGGAGGTTAGCATTAGCTATGCTGATGGAGTCAGAAAGGGTTCTCTCAGATGAGTAATTGAGAGTGGTTTAGTTTTGGAAGTATTAAAATTAACAAACCATTCCTTGCCCCAGTTAACAATGGAAATTAGATTATGTTTTAGATCAGCTGACAATTTGACCATAATGACTTACTATTAAGACAGGAGGAAATAGTTTTATCCTCAGCATAAATACTGAGTTGGGAACTAATGATATCAGGAAGGTTGTCGATGAAAATTAGGAACAGTGTTGGTCCAAGGATAGAGCCCTGGAGGAACACCTGCATTAATGCAAAAAGATTTAGAAGCATGTTTGTTCAAGACAACTTTCATTTTGTGATTTGATAAGAATAAGACTGAATCAGTTCAAAAATTTCTCCAGAAGAAAATTTGTTCAGAACCTTCCAACTTATGAAGAAGACCAGTATGCCAAATCCTGTCAAATGCCTTCGAGATATCCAAAGCAACTGCAGTATATATATATTCAAGCATGTTTGGTTGAATAATCTAGGCATATTATGTCTATTTATTTTTATTTGAATCCTCGCAAATTCAAAGATCAATTTCTAAGTGTTGTTATTAAACTGATTAAGAAAGATGCCGTAGTTTTGGTTATTTCTTTTATTTTCCAAAGTACTTTCAATCTCATCCAAGATCATCTTTAGGGGTGAACTACTAAGACAAAAAAGTTAATGTAATTGATATTTGTGAATTTTTTTCTGAATCCACATGAAACATGCTATGTTATAGTCAATTTAAAAATTAACTGTTAAGGATATATAAGGGAGGTAACTTAATTTATACATTTTATTATTAATGTTTTAAATACTCAATCTGCAGTTAAATTTTTTTTTTCCCATTTTGAGTATCCTAAAACATTCCTTTTATAGGAATTTTAAAATATTGTTGCTATACTCATAATTAATCTTATTTAGTGTTGCATTTTTTTATATAGAGTGCTTCAAGAATTTGAAGATTTTGTTTTTTATTTTCACGGTGGAGTATACTTGCATTGTCAATTAATATTTCTCTAAAATGTGAATGTGAACAGGAATGTTCTTTTAAATATTGTGCAATAGAACTTGAATCTGACATGTGTAATGTAAGCCTTCTTGATGTCGTGAAACCAACTTATATATTTACTTTTTGTCAGAAATACAATTTCTCAAAAAACATTTAAATTGATATACAATGTTGGTCTTTTGCAAAACATTAGTTGATGAAGAAGAGTTATTGTGCATGATTAAGTTGATTGTATTAAATTTAGTATAGTATATAATTAATTTTATTTTTTTACTGGGATCAGTCATGAAAATGATCTTTGATGAGATTGAAAATGCTTAGGAAAATAAAAGAAATAACCAAAACTACAGTGTCTTTCTTAAACAGTTTAATAATAACACTAAGAAATATATTCATGAATTTGAGATTAAAACAAAAATAGACATATGTCTAGATTATTCAATCAAACATGCTTGAATGTAGATATGCTAACTATATATATATATATATATATATATATATATATATATATATATATATATATACACACACTCACTGGGCGTGATGGGTAAATTGTTGCCAGTTTATATTTTTTTATTTTGCCCACTTTGTCAATTGCACAGTATAGTAGGGTGAGTTGGACAGCATCTGTGAGAAAAACAGCATCATGATGCAATTCGCTCCACCAGAAATTTGGAAATGGCATGCTATACTGATTGGCTTTCATGCTGGGAGCCACAATATGAACATTTCAGGATTTGGAAAGAGTTGGGTGAGTGTAATGGTGATTACAAAGGTATGGCTGCTTGGAAAACTCACTCTGATCATTCTGATAAGAACTTCCAAATTTGTTGGTGAGAGCCTCAGACTCAACACTGAGGTTTACATCAAGTGCCTTGAGGAGGTTGTGCTGCCCTGGGTCAAGAGGGTAGTTGTTGGAAGACCCTATGTCTGGCAACAGAACTCTGCACCATGCCACACAAACAGGAGAAACCAGTTATGGGTGTCAGACAATTTCTGTGATCATATCACCCCTTACATCTGGCCACCTACTCTCCTGACTGCAACCTCCTTAATTATTATGTGTGGGGCCCAGTTGAGCAAGAGACCAAGAAAATTCCTTGAAACACCAAAGATGAACTGAAGGCATGGATTATAGCAGCATTCACCATCTTAACCAAGGAGACTGTTCAGAAGTGTTGCAAGAGATTCCAAAGTTGTCTGGAGGTTGTGGCTGAAACCAATGGTGATTTTATTGAATAAATTTACTCTTTAGTATTTCAAGATATTTTTGTGAAATTTTGGTAAATATATCTGTTAAAATGATATATCAGTATTATTGTTAT